AATTCTCCTGCCTCAGCCTCCTGAGTAGATGGGATTACAGGCAAGCGCCACCATGCCCAGCTGATTTTTTGTATTTTTTAGTAGAGACGGGGTTTAACCATGTTGACCAGGGTGGTCTCGATCTCTTGACCTCGTGATCCACCCGCCTCGGCCTCCCAAAGTGCTGGGATTACAGGCGTGAGCCACCGCGCCCAGCCTGAAATGAAATTTTTAAAGGCGAAACACTCTTTTTGGATCCAGTTTTATACTCATTATTCCTGGGTTTTCTTCGCAGTGTGTTTTTGTACTTATCAACTTATTAAGTTAGTTTTCTAAGTGTCATCATGAATAGCATAAACTGCCACTTTTATGTAAAACGTAAGAAATGTCTAAATATTCCTTTGAGAAAATTTAAAAGGTATTTTTATTAGGAAAAAAATTTTAATCTTGTTTGTATATATATAATGAAGAATTTTTTGTTTTCTCCAGTTTTATAGAATTAGATTTGATCTTTTGAGTGTGACAAAACAACTAATCTTTGGATTGGAAAAGGGAAAATAGATTATACGATTTTAAAAAACGTGTGATAACCAGGCAACTTGCTTTCCTGGCTGTTAGCTTGTCTGCTTGGAAAATTAAAAATGAATGTTCTAGATTTTACTATTTGGTAGTTCTTACACAGTATGTAAGGGAGAATATGAGAAGTCCTTGTAGAACTATTGGGTTTTTTTGCCCTTTTGTTGTGTGTATGTATGACTAAATGAAAAAATTATTATTTTTTCTTGTTTGAACACTTCCTTAAAGTTAAACATGGTGGCTCAGATACTAAAGACATAAACCAAAAAAAAATAAATTTTTTTTTTTATCAGCTTTAGCCCAAAACTATTTTAAGACTTTGAGAGTGACATCTCAGTGTTACTGAAATCTTCCAGTACTTAACAACTAATAAATGGGTTGTTAACTCTACTAGAAGTTAGGTTTGCTGAATTAGTGATACCACTTCCTTAGTTTGAAGACCCCATTATCCTTGAACTTAAGCCATTGAGATGTTTTTAGTTATATGACCAAAAATAACCCAAACGTTAGATGGTTTATTCTAGTACAGTCATGTGTCACTTAATGACAGGGATCTGTTCTGGGAAATGTGTTGCTAGGTGATTTTTATCACTGTGTTTATGTAGAGTGTACTTACACAGACCTAGATGGTATAGCCTACTACACACTTAGGCGATGTGGTATAGTCTGTTGCTCCTAGGCTACAAACCTGTACTGTACAGTATGTTACTGTACTGAATACTATAGTCAACTGTAACACAGTGGTAAGTATTTGTGTATCTTGATTTATCTAAACATAGAAAAGATATGGTGAAAATACAGTATGAAATAATGTTATACCTGTATAGGGCACTTACCTTGAATGGAGCTTATAGGACTGGAAGTTGTGGGTGAGTCAGTTGAGTAAGTGGTAAATGAATGTGATTCTGTAGATTTTATGTACATAGTACACTTAGGCCACACTAAATCTATAAAAATTAAGCAGTTGCACTACAATGTTAAATGGCTATGATGTCACTAGGCAATAAGAATTTTTCAGGCTTGTTATAATCTTACAGGACCACTGTCATATATATGGTTCATTGTAGGTTGAAATGTTGTTAATGCAATGCATGAATGTATTTAAAAACTATGTTTTTAATTATATTAGGAAGAGTGATAGAACTGATGCAAGCTATTAGGAAATGTACATTTTATTAATACTGGTTTTAGAAGTTTTTTTTTCTGTGAAGGGACAAATGTAAATATTTTCAGTTTTGCAGGCTTTCAGGCTCTGTCACAACTACTCAACTCTGTAACTACTTAACTCTGCTGTTGTAGTGTGAAAGAGACCCTAGACAACATGTAAACAATTGAGAGTGGCCATGTTCCAAAAGTGGTGACACTGGCAGAAATCAGTATCTTTCCCTCAGATGTAGATCTGTAAATGTTTATGCATATATTCTGTATTTCTCAAATAGAATTTTGCCAACATCTGTACTACTTCTGTACTATTTTTTTTTCTAGAAGAAAAAAAGCATTTTAAGGCAAAAACTCCTGCTGTACTGCTCCATGCCATGCTAATAAAGTTCTCCAGTGAATTTAGAGAAAAGGCATCTATGGACCTCAGACTGTGGGATTTCGAATTTGTCTTCTTTTTTTATGGTCTTTTTATTGAAACCATTAGATTTTGTTTCTGTCCCCACAGGACTAGGACTGGAAGCAAAGAAAAATTGAAGGAACATCTCCAAATGTTAATTATTTGCCTCTGTTCCTTATATTGGGTTCCAAATCAGTGTCTTCTTCCATATCATCTCAGCTGAGTTACCTCCTGAAGCAGCTTAGTTCTCGTCCCATTCAGTGCAGCTTTTAGGAGCTATAGCTGTTAAGGCTTTAGAGTTAGGCAAAATTGAGTTAAGTTCTGGCTCCTTCATTTACTGCAGTGTAACTTTGGGCATGTCTTTTAGTCATTATAATCCTTAGTTGTAAAATGAGATTAATGCATACTTCCCAGAGTTGCCGTTGAGAATAACTGAAATAGTGTATGTAAAGTGTTTTGGCCACTACTGTACCTATCACAGTTACCCAAAAATTTATTTATTCAGAAGTCTTTTGTTGAACACCTGTTATGTGTACTGAGCATTGTCCTAGTTATGTGAGATACATCAGTGAACAAAGCAAAGATCCTTAATAGACAACATACATAAATAAATTATGTAATAGCTTACAAAGTGACAGTAGCTTTGGGGGAAAAGGAAAGGTATTATAGGATAAAGGTGATCAATGAGCAGGTACGTTTGCAGTTTTAAATTGGGTAGTCTGTATAAGGAAGATCATACCTCAGCCAAAACATAAGGGAGGTTAGGGAATGATGAGCCATGCAGGGGTCAGGAATGGAGATTGGGGAAGTGGAGAGATGTGCCAGACAGAGGAAACAGCCATTATAAAGGGTCCCAGAGTGGCACCCTGTGTTTGATCAATAGCAGGTAGGCTATTGTGGCTGGAGTAGACTGAGAAAGAAGTAATAGTAGATGAAATCAGAAATAACAATGAGGCCAGTTCATGTGACCATGGTAGGCCATTGTAACCACATGGGATTTTTATTCTGAGTGAGATTGGGAATAGTTTTGAGTGTTTTGTTAGCTTATTTTTTACGGACAGGGTCTTGGTCTGTTGCCCAGGCTGACTCAAACTCCCGGACTCAAGTTATCCTCTCACTCGGCTTCTGAAGTAGCTGGGTCTAAATGCATGCCTCTGCACCTGGCTCAGGCTTTTGAGCAGATAAATGATATGATCTGCGTTGGTTTTGACACTCATGCTAACTGCTAGGTTAATAATAGGTTATATGGGGCAAAAGTGAGCAGGCTATTGCAGTAATCTTGGTGGGAGACCAGGGTGGTAGCAGTAGAGGTAATGAGAAATGGTCATATCCTGGATGTATTTTCAGGTAAAGGCAACAGGATTTGCTTATGAATTAGATATGGCGTGTGAGAAAGAATAGTGAAGAATGACTCCAACTTAGGCTGAGGAAGG